AAAATTCATCCGTATGAGGGCAGAGCTTATGGAATTCAAACCTGCGGCATGGGAGTATCTTCGAGGGATTCGAGAGAGTAACTGGGCTCGAATGAAAGCCGGTCGTCGCCTTTGGGGCATAGCGACAACCAACGTTTCTGAGAGTTACAACAATGCATTGAAAGGGATCCGGTTTTTACAATTAGAGTCTTGATTGATATAACCTTTCGCAAAACTGTGAAATTCTATCGAGAAGAATAATTGTGTGTGAGAAATTGCATGACACCGATCGCTCCTGAGTTATGGAAAAAATACGAGGAAATGAACAACAAAGCAGCCAGCTATGATGCCTCCCCTTTTGATGGCGATAATGCTAGGTGGCGGGTTGTTACTACTACACGGCTAAGTAGCAGGGGTGGGTCTTTGCATACGGTGAACTAAGATGAATATAGGTGTTCGTGCAGGAAGTGACAAGAGTATTGGATGCCTTGTACGTATGCACTCGCCGTTTGCCGGAAAAAAAAGGATCGACCTATTGATCTATACATAGTTTGTGGCGCCTTCCAGCATGGCACATAAAATTTGATTACACAGGTTTTGTTCCGGTTCCCGATGAGCAATAATGGCCGACAGTCTCTTGAAATATCATTCTGAATTATGAGCGTCTTGTTTTGAATGCAGGATCGGGACGAAAACAAAAAAATGAGATAGAATGCAAATAGATTACAGGGACGCCAGAGCCGGGAGGGGGGGGGGATGTTGGAGATGCGGACAACAAGGTCACGATGCCAATTCTTGTCCTTACTCACACCCAGGAGTAGATAGAAGACTTGTGAATGACAGCTGGAATTAAAAGACAGTTAGTGTTATTATTATTTGGAATGACCATGTTATTTGGAATCACAACTGTTTAATTAGATGTCCTATAACTGTTTGTATTGATAAATTCGGATTGTAATGTTAACATTTAATTATTGGTATTGTGATTGTGATGAAAATAGATACTAGATGTTGATAACAGGTTTTGGGATTATGTAAAAATAAAATTGGACACTTTGTGTTTTCGTATTGGGCTCGGATTTCTGAAATCCGAATGTAGGCATTTTCTATTGAGTTCGGATTTCAGAAATTCGAAATAAGCCCGATTTCCTGCACTAAATAATTCAGATTTCAGAAATCTGAATTATCCCGATTTGTGCTAAATCTCGATTTCGGAAATCTGTACTTAGAAAATTCATCCGGGAGTATGCAATTTTAGGAGAAGCCGGGGAGATTCGAATTTCCGTGTTCTGGATATCTGAATTCGGATTTGGCAAATCCTCAAATCCGAGTTTGACGGGGACTATAAAAGGCCGGTCAACTCTTCCCCAATTCAATTTCAGTTATCCCCAAACTGAAAAACCCTAAATCCCCCAAATTGAAAAACCCCTACTCCGACCGGCGACAACCTTCGTCGTTCTACCACCCCTCCCCGCCCGACGACTCAATCCACCACCCACATTGAGCTCCCCTTTTCCGGCGACTCAAGTTCTTCAGTCCGATGACTCAAATTCCTCCATCCGCTACTCCCCGTCGAAGTTCACTCAAGTTCCCAGGTCCTTTGAAGGCCTCTCCATCCAATGACTGACTTCTCTGCCGGTGACCGAATTGCCGGCGACTCCCCTCCAAATTGAACTCCCGTCGGTTGGTGACTCACCGGTAAGTATTTTCCTTCCTTTTTTTTTGAAAATGTTTTTCCCCATCTATTGGAATTATGAAATCCGAATGTATTGATTTAAGTGTGTAATAATTCTTTAAGTGTGTTTTCCATTTCTTTCAGTTTTGCATTTGTAAAGAATTAGCTTGTTTAACCTGTTTTGGTTTGGTTTGTTAAGTGTACCGGAATTATTTTTTTGTTTTTTTTCTGGAATGAATATTTGTGTAATCCAAATTAGGCTTTTGGAAATTAACTTCCTAGATATTGAAATCCGTTTGTTGTTTTTTGTAAGTTCATTGGGGTTGTTTTTGTTTGAGAATTTTACATATGAAGTATGAAGTATTGTGCATGTCTTATAACTGTTTATTGTTTGAAGTATTGTCGAATTGAAATATTGTGCATGTCCTATAACTGTTTTTTTTTTTTTTTTGATAATGGATAAATTACATTGCCTTATATGATTCCATATTCCAATAGTAATCGTCTCGGTTTTTTTTCTTTCTAATTTTTTCCCCTGATACATTTGTGTTCTTTTTGTCTGGTTTAGGTTTTTTCCCTTCTATGAGAATTCTGCATGTTTAACTAACTTGCTAAAAGGACTCTATATGATGCCTGAGGTTTTTTTTTCTTTTTTTTTTTCCTTGATACATTTGTGTTCTTACTTGTTTTGGGGTTTTGTTAGTATGCAATAAAGTTCAAGTTTGTTGAATCTTTTCTTTGAGTTAGCGCATGGTCATCTTTCTAATGCCTATTGCTTTCTTACCCATGTTATTGATATGCTTATTTAGTTTAGTTTACCCATATTATTGACATGCTTATTTAGTTTAATTTAGGGTGGAAAAGTAAGTACACCTACGAAGACGTCCCAAGGAGCAGCTTGACACCTTTTAGAGATCAATTAACAAGCCTGCGTCTTAGAGATGTAAGTACTTAATTTGATATTTATATTAATTTTGAATTTTTTTTCCGATTATACTATTTAAAGAAATTCATTTCGTGCAGTTTCTGTGACAACCATATGCAAGCGTCCTTCCTAAACTCTTTAATTTCTGTAAACAAGGACAAGCCATTTGGACGACTAGATATTGGATGTTCTGTTGGGCTTTTAGGGAACCCCACGAGTCGCCCAGGGTTGTAAAACAATTTGGATTCATACAGGGTGTTCCCCGTGACCCTATGATTAAAGATCGCGCAACATTTTTTGTTGATCACGCCCACAGTATGTCTAGCCTACCTAAAAACAATTAAGTGGATCAATATTCCGCAGTACGTCCTCACTGGAACAAGAGAGAAAAGTATATTCCAAATGATTTGGAGGTTGGATTCCTTGGCCAAACATCAGAGGGGTACTATGAATGGTACATGATGAATACTGTCAAGCTTATATCCAATCCCTGAAATTATGAAGCGAAAGGATATGAAACTTTTTCGAGCTGAGTAAAATTATAAGTGAGTTCATTCTTTTTTTTGGTTTTTTATTTCTTATATTTTTCTTTTATTTTTTTCATCTTTTTATGATTTTTTGTATTTTACTCTTTTAATTAACGTTCCAATTTTTTTTTGTATTGAAGTATTGAACAACATTTGTGTGAGTTCCGAGCAATTTAGAGATGATAGACATAAGAAAAATATCCTAGACGATGAACTCGAGGAACATTTGAACCAAATCATTGATCAAATACATGTTGCATTAACCCTAGGCCCAAATGATAAGATTGACATGGACGATATCCAAATCCTATTTGATAACGAACCATCTCTGCTCTCACAACCTGCACCGGGTAAAAAAGTGAAACCGTGGACGCGAGAGAAGATTGGAGGACGAAGAAGCGAAAAATAGTGATTCACCCTCGGTCATCACAAGAACAAAATGAGAGTGACGGTTCAGGTAATCAACAACGAGAGGGCGAGGCGGCTTCTTCAAGAGGCTCGCACATCCAGGTCGATACTCAATTTGAAGACATTGGTGGAAGTGAGACTCAATTTGAAGACATTAGTAGAGAGTCGCAACCACAGTCGGGAGTCCTACTTCTCACCATGGGAGAGTCTCCATTCAAACCCCATCCCCAACCGCATCAACAACAGGGTTCAATACTCACGTATCTTCGGAGGGAAGACAGGAACCACCAGCGGCCAAATAAATACACTTCGGATGCGCCTAGAAAAAAAAAAGGGGAAAACTGAGCCCGTTGATGTATTTTTAAATTGAAAGTAGTTTTTGGATTGATTTTGAATTGAAACTTGTTTTGTTTTGTTGTTAATCGAATAAAGTTTATTATTTTCTTGCCATTAGATTTCTGTTTTTTTAAGTTTCATTGTTATTAGTGCTGTAAATAGGTCTTGGACTGGTTAAAACCAGTCTAATTTTTTTTTTCAATTCTAACACGGATTCGGATTTCAAAAATCCGAAGCTATGCTTTTTGTAAAACACTTCGATTTTGAAACAGAGAAACAGAGGAGATCCGGATTTTCTAGTTTCTCAGAGAAACAGAGGAGATCCAGATTTTCATAATCTGACTTTACCCAACTTCGGATTTCCGTCATTCGTTGATTACCAAAGAGGAAATCTAGATTTATGGAATCCGTTTGCCCACCATATTGGATTTCTGCAAGTCGAGTTTGCCCAAAAATATTTTTCAACACTTATAATTTTTTCATCCCACCTGAAATTAATATTTTATTAGTGAATTCGGATTTACGAAGTCCGTGTTTATATTAATTACACTAAATACTTTTATTAATTTAATCTTTTATTAATATTACACAAAACCGGATTTCAGTAATCCGAGTTTAGTTGGATCTGAATTTCAGAAATCCGACTGTTACCCTGATTCGGATTTCTGAAATTCGGGGCACACAGTTTTGTCTACATAATTTCTGAAAGATTTTTTTTTTTTGTCCAAGTCCTTAATGTGCTAACATATTTAAGTCAAAAACTCGCCAGATTAAATGGCCTGCCCAAAAAGTTGCTGGTGTTACAAAGTCGAAATCAATAACAATACATGTGAGAGTTACTGCTTTGAGCATCCGATTGAGTCTCTGTTCATTGAATTTTTTTTGAACTCTTAAAATTTCAGCAGTTATTAAAGAAATTCTACTTCAGTTTCTTGACTTCTTCCATAAAAAGAAAGCTAATAAAAGCTCTGAAGGAAGAGTTTCTATTTGATCCAGTTAGAAAAGATCAGAGGAAAATGCATCATCATCCACACAATCAAATAGATTTTATGGCAGTGTTAGAGCATTAACAGAAGAGTAAGACAATGCGAAGCTACACTAAATTTTTTTGAGAAATATAAACAATGTCATTTCCAACGAGAACGTCAAGTTAAGTCAGCATATGTTCATTCTGTAAGAGGAGTAGAGGACGGATGATCTCTTTGTAGATTTGAGTATCAGGAATCACTCCTTGAAGAACCAGAAAATCATGCAGTTCAATGACTTCCTCAGCTCGACGACGCTCCTTCATTGCACATGTAATAAAGGTAGTATATGTAACACCATCTGGATTGATACCCTGTGCACGCATCACATTCACGAGTTTCTTTGCCTGCTGGAATGATCCAACCTTGCAGAAGAAGTTTACCATTATATTGAAAGTGACCCTGTTGAAAGAAATCCCTTCCTTCCTCATACTTGCAAGTAAGTTCAATGCATTATCTACCTGACCACCAGCACAATAGCTGTTCAATAAAGTGTTAAAGGTTATAACGTCAAATAAACCTGTGTCTCTCATTCCACCTAAAAATGCTTTTCCTGCATCTACAGATATCTCTTTGCATATACCATCCATTATTGAGTTGAAAATCACCAAATTGGGATTTTCTTAGCCGAAAGTATCATATCATTGTAAGTCCGTAGGGCGTTTTCCATGTCACCACTTTACAAGTATGAATCAATCAGTGAACCATAAGTTCCCAAATCGGAACAAGTCCCCGCACAAACATACTACAAAGAATCTGCTTTGCTCTACTTATGTTCTTAGTTCTGCAAAGGTAATTGATAACTATGTTATGGGAGAAAGCATCTTCAATGAGATTCTTTTCTAAAATATATGTGTAATGCTTAAGTGCTTCATTGATCTGGCCATTCCTGAAAAGTCCACTTATCAGCGTCGAATAAGTGTATCTATCAGGGCATATGTTCCTTTTAAACATGTCAGCGATTAACACAGAAGCTCCAACAACGTCACCTTCCTTATATAGCCAATGAATAACTGAATTATAAACAACCAAATTCGGCAACAAACCTCGCTCAACCATCTCACTACACAACCTAAATGCCTCCTCCAAATGCCCGCTCCTAGAATATCCATCTACGAGTATCGCATAAGTTCTGACATTTGGCTCCATACCCCTCTTGAGCATTTCATTGATAAAATATTTTGCAGTTCCTATATTCCCCAACTTGCAATACCCATTAATGAGACTATTGTAACTAATTAAATCAGGAGTCACACAACCATTGGACATCATACCAATCTTTTGAATGAGCTTCAATGCCATATCGCAATCACCAATCCAACAGGCGCCATGTATAAGCATATTAAGAGTAACATCATTAGGAATAATCCCATTTTTCAACATCCTATAGAAAACTGAGATGGCTTCAATCACTCTGTGTTCCTTGCAAAGAGCATAAATAGTCCAATTAAATGTTATCACATTCTCAACATAGCTGTAAGAGATCATTTCCTTCCGTACCCTCCAAAACTGTGCTACATCACCCACTTTAAGCGAGATGATTCAAAAATTATTCCATGCATGAACCGAAACCCGAAATCCCTCCATTCTTAATTGCTTAATAACCTCATAAGCACCCTGGATGACCCAACATCAGTGCAAGCCCTCACAAGTGTTTCAAAAGCTGCACAACCTGAAAAATCAAAGTCCCTCTGGCTATTTAACAATGTCTTCAACACATCCAAGGGTGAGTGACCTTTTGCTATCATCAACTCCTTAATCAAGCACAGAGCTTCATCATATCTTTTACTGTTCACCATCAGATGAATGACAATACCACATGAAGTTAGAGAATCTAAAATATATCTGACTCCTCCGATCCTGTAGTAAACCTCTAAAATCACTGGTGGAGAGTTCCGGAACTCGTGAAAAACACGGCAGTGTGGAACTTGTCATGCTCGGTAACACACTTGTCCAAGAATTTCCATTTCTTTTGCCTTAAGTTAGTACAAATCGCCTAAAAGAATATCTTCTCTCATTGGGGTTAGTAAATTGCTTCGCGAATGTAGGCGTCGACAAGAAGATGTCGACCTTTTGGTGGAAACAAGCTTAAGAACATAGGACAAGAAAAGCAACTTCAAACCATAGCTGCTCTCTACGAACAACACAAACAACCTGCTCAGGGCAGGGAAAAACAAAAATGAGACAGTTATAATGATAACAATAACAACAACAACAATAACAATAATCACATGAAACAGAACAGAGACCATACAAAACTATACCAAAACATAAATTAACAATCTCAATGAAACTTTATTCATAGAGAACCTTCAATTCTTTAGCAAAGTAAATAATGATAAACCCATCTCAGAACATTCACTGCTTGCCACTTCGAGAACTACTAGACCCTCAATTGACAGTTTAACGCGTTCGTACCAAAAACAAAAGAGCGCCAAAAAGCAGGCAACCATCATGTTCAGTGCGGCATTTTATCAAGCAGCTGGTATACTTAAAACACAAAACCAGGCCACAAACCAGCCTTACAACTTCCAGTTCTTGTCAACAAGGGAACTATGCGTCAGAAAAACAGCACAAGACCATGACAAATTGGCCAAAAGAAAGCCATAAATATAAGTACAATAAATCACGAAGAACAAACTTATTTTAACTGAGACGTTTCATCAAACAAACGTAGTTTTAGAGTTCAGACATTTAAGTAACCACTAAAGAATTTGAAGTAAGAAACGTGAAAGATTACCGTTTAGTTGTTTCCCCTGTGAGATAATTTAAGCAACCCCGGGCTGCTCTGTTCTTCGGAGAGAATTGATTAATTTTTCTGACCGGATTAATAAAACAAAGGGGCTGTAGTTTATAAATGTCGATGCTTGGCGGCAAAAGATTAAAAGGCGGTGTTTTATCCTACTTCTTACTCCCTCCATTCCAAAATAAGTGTCGTTTTAGCTATTAAAATAAGTGGAATGGAGGGAGTACTATGTTAGAAACTAAGTATTTTGCTAAAACAACACTTACAAAGCTATTATAAATCTCCAAAACTAAGTATTGATTTGGCACAACCAATGAAGAACATCAATAAATTATCTTACTAATATTTAAACTTATTAGGATGCTTTTATATTTTTTCTAGCATTTACTTCAAGACATATATTTGATCAAGTTTATTTATATTTAAAAAGTAACACTTATAAAACATTTCTAAAATCTTCAAACATTTCTAAAAGTTACCGGGCCAAATATAATTTATTTTTATGCCAAATACAAACATCACACTTACAAAACAAGAGTAAATATAACCATATACAATATAGGAATATATCAGTAAAATGTAGCACTAATACAGAAAATAAAGTGTGGAAGTTGCATTAGAAAAGGGTTCAGAGTCAAAGGACAGAGACTTCAAAATTTAGCCTTTCAAATCTCTTTTCTGAATTTTCAGAACTGAGGTGACTAAGTGGCTGTTTTCAAAGTTCATTTTTGCACAACTCATTCATTGTTTCAGCAACCTATCAAAACAACATTGAACCTCAATAAACAGAGAGGGGTTTTATCGAAATTCAGAGAAAAAGGTCCAAAAGTAAATCGAAACGAGCCTCCCAAAACAGTAGCTCAAACCAGATTTTTTCCTGACAGAAAATGTCAGAACTGATGAGTCAAGTTCAAACTGCTTCCTGAACAAATCGTAAGTCCATTTGATATTCCGTAAAAACCACAACAAAGTACACTGAATGAAAAACAGTTTCATGAAAAGAAAATCCGAAAAATAGTTCAAGACCTAGGAGAAAAAGGTCTGACAACAGAAGGAAACTATTCTGAATTTCCAGCATTTTTCAGCAACGATAATGTCATGTTCAAATTCGATTTCCGAACAAACCGGGAGTCCATTTACCAATCCGTAAAAACCACATTAAACTAGATGAAACATAAAAGAGATTAATATGAAAAAATCTCAGAAAAGGATTCAAAAAATAGGAGAAACAAGCCTTTGAATCTGAATTTCTAGACTTCGCAGAAAATCATTTTCAATAGTCAACTTTAAATGCGATTTCATAACCAACCACAACTCTGTTTTAGGATCCGTAAAAACTGACAATCACCTTAAGAAACAAAGCAAAGGGTCACGAATAGAAATCAAACAAAAAGGTATATTTGCAAGGAGATTTGATCAGTTCAAAATTCAGTTGACAGAAAACTGATTCTGAAGTTTTCAGAATTTTGATTCCAACTTCAAACTCATTTTTAGGATTGAATAAAACTCCGTTTTTCATTCCGTAAAAACTGACAATTACCTTAAGAAACAAAGCAAAGGGTCAAGAAAAGAAATCAAACAAAAAGGTGTATTTGCGAGGAGATTCAATCAGTTCAAAATTCAGTTGACACTGATGTAGCATACATCATACTCTTTACAGCAATCTATGCATCTATAAGTTATGCCCAAAAAGAAGAAATACAGAGCTAGCAAACACAGAGAACGGAGCCACAAAAGATGCACTTTGGATGCGAAGGTAAGGTGACATGTAGAAGAAATTCAATACCTAGAAGGAAAATAGAACGGATCCATATCAGTAGATGTTAAAAATTTTCAAGGAATAGAATTGCTCCAGATGAATAGAATTGTTCCTCAATAGAAAGGGCTCCTCTGATAAGAAAAATAAATTAAAAAAGACAACTCACTTGAAATCTCAGCAACCTGTTTATCAGTCAACTTAGTAGAGAATCCATTGACAGCATTCTTGTAACTGTAAATCAGCGCAGTTTTTGCAGCCTCCTCACTTCTCCAAACGTATCATCGAAAAGATAGGATAATAATCAAAACCCATATGCCGAAAACTTAAAAAAGGCAAACCCCTAACGATATAAAGAGGAAAAAATCACGTTCAATTTATCAACCACAAACAATGAAAAATGGAATCACAATGCATCTATCAGAGTGTGGAAAAAGCTTGCAACCAAAATCCCCACTGTTTTTCTGCTAACTAGAATCGTACGAGCTAGTTATAGCCTCTAAAACTTCAGCAAAAATTCAAATGGAGTAATTTTTGTTTTGTTCTTTTTTTTTTAAATCTATTTGGACAGTATAATGATACTTTCGTGATGTTGCATTCTAATACTTCCAATTGTGTCAAAAAAATTCATTCGAATAAACCACATACACAGGGATATGACCAGAGTATTTATACTACTTCTGTCTGAAAACTTAGTTTCACAGGGAAGAAGAAATAAGCAATAACTAGAAGAAGAGAACACACCAAAACGTAGACTGAGTCTTGAGCCCCAATTGGTAAGTTCTCTCGAAACCCAGAAAATAAGCAGTCGCCAATGTCAATTTCGACAACCAGAATCCGTCGACCGTCGGCGAAGAAGATGATGGCGCTCAGATGGGTAGAATGGAAGATTGGATCTTGGCCTTCACTCGCACTATCGTGGATTTTGATTTTGATTGGCGATTGAAGTAGCCGGAGACCGGAGCCGCCGGCACACTAGATCTGTAGTTGTATCGAAGAAACGTTTAATGAGTTTAAGAATAATGACCGTGAATAACTCTTTAATGAGTCACCGACGGTTTGATCGGCATGGACGAATCGCCGGAGTT